CAAATATGTTGCTATTTTTGCCTTTTTCAGGTGTAAAAATAAATATGTAAAAATAATAATATAAAAATAAGTACCAATAATAAGTACCATTCTTGCGCAGGGGCCATAGATTGTTATGTAACCAAGAGTGAAAATTCTTTAAATTTTTTGTTGTTTTACTAATTTTAATTAAAGTTACTGAGCGTTTATTATTTTTACTGTGCAAATCGGATTTTTTTACTGAACAAATTACAATAAAATACTGTGCGTGGTTTACTTAGCACTTAAATAGGTCGAAAATATTGTAATTTTTTGCCTTTTTCAAGTGTTTAAACGCGTTTTTGAGATCAAAATAAAAATTTCCAAAAAAATTCGTTTAAACAGGCTGAAAAAGCACAAAAATAAATCGAAATTGGTATTTTTTTTGCTTGTTTCACTCGACTTATTTCGTTTTTGAACCAGAGGTAAATGAGCCTCTGGTTTTGCAAAATCTTACGAGAAAATTTTTGCGAGACTTCGCTAAAACACATCAAAAAACAACAAATTAAATCGAAAATTATTTAATTTTTTTTATTTCTCCAGTGTTTAAGCACGTTTTTCAGTCAGAAGTTCAATTATTTCGGATAATTTCGTTAAAAACAAAAAAAAATCAACAAAATAGGCCAAAAACGTTGTAAGTTTTGCTTTTTTCAAGTGTTACACATTTTTGAGATAAAAACAAAACAATTTCGAATAATTTCGTTTAAACAGGCTGAAAAAGTAAGTACAAAATTTAATCGAAATTTGATATCAATGTTGTTTTTTTAGTTTTACTGGATTTAAGTGGTCTTTGAGCAAAATTAATAAAAAATAAACCGAGAAATCACACAATTTCGTAAAATTTTTGTACCAAAGCCTCACGTTTTTCGCGAGATTTCGCTAAAACAAACCAAAAAATCAACAAATTAAGTCGAAAATTATATTATTTTTGCATTTCTCGAGCTAAAAACGCAATTATTTCGCAAATTTTGTTCAAAACAAGCCTAAAAAACACTAAATTAGGCTGAACATAATGTCACTTTTGTCGAGCAGATTTTTACATGAAAATACCGTTTTTTCCCGAGATTTTGCCATATACCGAGTCAAAAATCACTAATTTTTTTAAGACAGAAACGCAATTATTTCGCAAAATTTCGCTAAAAACAAGCAAAAAACTCAACAAGATGTCAAAAATGTTGCTATTTTTGCCTTTTTCAGGTGCAAAAATAAATAAATGTATAAATAATAATATAAAAATAAGTACAAATAATAAATAACATTCTTGCGCAGGGGCCATACATTGTTATGTAACCAAGACTAAAAATTCTTAAAATGTTATGTTGTTTTACTAATTTTGATTAAAGTTACTGAGCGTTTATTATTTTTACTGTGCAAATTGGATTTTTTTACTGAACAAATTACAATAAAATACTGTGCGTGCTTTACTTAGCATTTAAATAAGTCAAAAATGTTGTTATTTTTGCCTTTTTCAAGTATTTAAACGCGTTTTTGAGATCAAAATAAAAACTTCCAAAAAATTTCGTTTAAACAGGCTGAAAAAGCACAATATTAATCGAAATTGGTATTTTTTTTGCTTGTTTCACTCGACTTATTTCGTTTTTGAACCAGAGGTAAATAAGCCTCTTGTTTTGCAAAATCTTGTCCAAACACGCCTAAAATCCAAAAAAAGAACTGATAAAAATAAGCCGAGAAACCAAGCCGAAAATTTTTGCGAGACTTCGCTAAAACACATCAAAAAAATAACAAATTAAATCGAAATTTATTTATTTTTTTTATTGCTCGAGTGCTTAAGCACGTTTCGGATAATTTCGTTAAAAACAAACAAAAACTTCAACAAAATAGGCCAAAAACATTGTAATTTGTGCTTTTTTCAAGTGTTTTATACATTTTTGAGATAAAAACAAAACAATTTCGGATAATTTCGTTTAAACAGGCTGAAAAAGTACAAAATTCAATCGAAATTTGATATCAATGTTGTTTTCTTAGTTTTACTGTTGTACTGTAATATTAATTTTGATTAAATTTCACTCAGTAACTTATTATTTTATACTGATCAAAATTTTTACAGCAAATCCAAAGACACAGCGGAAATAATCGAAAACAAGTTCGCCATCCTCGAAGCGGAGCAATACCTCCTCCAGAATCTCACAATCAACGATGAAACGAACAAAATCCGCGAAACGACAAAATTCATCTTTCCCCTCGAAGAAAATTCCACCTCACTCAACAACAACAAACCGAAATTGAATAACACTGAGAAAATCCGCAAAGAACGGAAGGAAATTCTCACACAAATCTCCTCAATTAAGCGCCACATCGCCGAGTCGGAAATCCACGAGGAGGAATTGCAGCGCGACATCGAGCTGGAAAACGCCCTCATTTCCGGCGAACACAAAGCAAAACTCCTAGAATTGGACAAACTCGAGCACCGGAAGGAGAAACTCTTCAAGTGTGCTCAAAAACTAGAAGAGAGTATGTCTCACCAGCAGACGAAACAAGACCAAGACCAGTTAAAATGCAAGGAAAAGCTGGAATTAGCCCAGGAGAGGATGCTCCAAATCGAGGGGAAGTTGGCCAAGACGCCCAAAAGCGATCCCGAGTACGAGAACGTCTTCGAGGAGTATTTGAAAGCTCAGGAGGTGCTTGATAACGAGAAGAAAGCGTTTGAAGACCTCGAGTTCCACCATTTGGAAGAGGAAGCCGACTGGTTGGCAAGTCGGGAAGAAGTCCAAAGGGAGATTCTCGACTTGACCAAAAAAATTGACTCGGTTAAAGAGCAAATCCAGGAGTTGGAACAACAAAAGTACAACATCTCGAAAAACAACACCACGGAAGTGAAAATCATCCGAATGAGACGTGACGAATACATGCGAAAATTGGAACGACTTTCACTAGTTTTGAGACGAATTGACAACGAATTATCCGTTTTTGCCCATCAAGAATCCGACCAAGAGGAGTCCACTGATAGTGACAGTGATAAATCTAAAGACCTTGACAAACACTTATCCAACTTATCACTCAATGTGATCCATGATTTGAGCTGTTCGGTCATCGTGAGCAACACCAAGACTTCAATCGACCACATGTACAACATGTCGCAGTCATTTAACGAAAAATTACTGCAGGAAAAATCAGTTTTGGAGACGGGAATTGGTACCAAATGCCCCAGTCAAGACGACATCGACAGGATCAGTAAAGTGACATCAAGTGCCCCGATTAGTATCAATGAACAACAAGGATCTCTCGGAAGAAAAACTATCGAATCTTTGAAGGATATCGAGAGGATGAGACATCTTCATTTGTGCCAACAAGGTTAGTTGGTTTGAGTCAAGATTTTGTGAAGAAGTTTTTGTAGGTTCGCAGGTTATCGAGCAGGAGAGACAAAGAGTCCTGGCTTTGAAACAAAGGGTTCAACATGAAGTGAGGATCAAGTGGGCGCAGAGCAGGCAGGATTGTGTGGTTCCCGACGCGGGAGAGAAGAGAAACAGGTAATTATATTATAGATTTTGTCAAAATTAGTAAAGGGGGCTAGCGGCTTTGCCGCTCGCCCCCTTCTAACCTCACACTATCTGATTTACAAGTACTACAAAAGACAGTGGGGGAGACCAAGGAAGTGTCTAAGAAATACTGGTTTAAACAATATCTAGATTTGCAAAAAAAAACGTTTAAAAATTTCTCAAATAGAAATGCTCAAATTTAAAAAATGTAAATTGAAATTTTTGAAAATATCGTCTTACAAAAGACAGTTGGGGAGACTATCGAGAAATACTGGCTTAAAAACTTTCTAGACTTGCAAAAAAACATTAAAAAATTTCTTAAAGAAATGCTTAAATTTAAAAAAAAATTCAATTGAGACTTTTTTAAAACATCGTGCTACAAAAGAAAGTGGGGGAGACTAAGGAAGTTTCTAGAAATACCAGTTAAACAATATCTAGATTTGCAAAAAAAAACGTTTAAAAATTTCTCAAATAGAAATGCTCAAATTTAAAAAATGTGAATTGAAACTTTTGAAAATGTCGTCTTACAGAAGACAGTTGGCGAAACTAAGAAAATGTCAAGAAATGGCTTAAAAAATCTCTAGTCTTGCAAAAAACATTTAAAAATTTCTTAAAGAAATGCTAAAATTAAAAAAAATGTCAATCGAGACTTTTTTAAAACATCGTGCTACAAAAGACAGTGGGGGAGACTAAGGAAGTGTCTAGAAATATCGGTTTAAACAATATCTAGATTTGCAAAAAAAAACGTTTAAAAATTTCTCTAATAGAAATGCTCAAATTTAAAAAATATATATTGAAACTTTTGAAAATATCGTTACAAAAGACAGTTGGGGAGACTAAAAAATGTCAAGAAATACTGGCTTAAAAAATTTCTAGACTTGCAAAAGAACATTTAAAAATTTCTTTAAAAAATGCTTGAATTTAAAAAAATGTCAATCGAGACTTTTTTAAAACATCGTGCTACAAAAGACAGTGGGGGAGACTAAGGAAGTGTCTAGAAATACCAGTTAAACAATATCTAGATTTGCAAAAAAAAAACGTTTAAAAATTTCTCAAATAAAAATGCTCAAATTTAAAAAATGTAAGTTGAAATTTTTGAAAATATCGTCTTACAAAAGACAGTTGGAGAGACTAAAAAAATATCGAGAAATACTGGCTTAAAAACTTTCTAGACTTGAAAAAAAAACATTAAAAAATTTCTTAAAGAAATGCTTAAATTAAAAAAAATTTCAATCGAGACTTTTAAAACATCGTGCTACAAAAGACAGTGGCTAGAAATGCCAGTTAAACAATATCTAGATTTGCAAAAAAAAAACATTTAAAAATTTCTCCAATAGAAATGCTCAAATTTAAAAAATGTACATTAAAACTTTTGAAAATATTGGGTTACTAAAGACAGTTGGGGAGACTAAAAAAAATGTCTAAAAAATGGCCTAAAAAATTTCTTAAAGAAATGTTTGAATTTAAAAAAATGTCAATTGACACTATATTTATATCTAGATTTGCAAAAAAAGAAAACGTCTAAAAATTTCTCAAAGAAATGCTTAAATTAAAAAAATGTCAATCGAGATTTTTTTAAAACATCGTGTTGGAAAAGACAGTGGGGGAGACTATCATATTTTGTCAAAATTTGTAGGGGAGGCTCGCGGCTTTGCCGCTTGCCTTCTTCTAAACTTCTCTATCAGTCAGATTTTGTCAAAATAAAAAAAAACAATATATAAATAAATAAAAATCCTTCTAAACCTCATACTATCTGATTTGCAAATATTTTATATAATTAAATTCAATTCAATCTTTGAATTATTGCATTTTCACAATGTTTCTGCTAATAAACTGGAAATCTATTTTTTGCAAGTTCAGTGGGTACAACTAGTTTTTGTTAAGTCGATAGAAATAATCATGTCATAACCTCAAATTAAAAAATTAAATTAAATTACACATTCCTGGGCCAAAACGCACTCTTGTTTTTTTTTAATTTTCACTTTTATGGGTTTTTGGCCCAAATAACATTAATTAACGATAATAACCCGTCCGGTGCAGTAAAGGTTGGATTGAATTTTAATTTTTCATCATTGTTTATTGTCTAAAGTTTGATGTTTTTTGCTATAGTGTATAACAAAATTGCTATTTGCGCGAGAGAGATAGTTAATTAATTTTTACACGGGTTGAGAGAGTTGGAGCTATGTTTGATGGACATGTAACGTTGACTGAGGTGTTTCCCGACCTCTAAAAAATGATTAAAAAATTGTCATTTTGATAAGATTAGATTACTACGTCGGCGTAAATTGCGTTTTATTTGTAACGTAAGTAAAATGTTTAGGAAATTAAGCTTTAAACGGTGAGGTGTAGTGTTTATTATTTCAACTAAAATAATTTAGATCGTGGAAAATTGGTTTGTTTAAGCTGAAATAGTCGTTTCCGTTTCAACAAAAATATTTACTTGTTCGTAACCTATTTCGCACATTGTAAGTTATGTACTTACAAAATTTGAAACCGGTTTTTGTTTGATTTTTTATTTCTGAAAAAAATAATAAGGTTGTTGCAATTATTTTCACCCGGGGGTTTACACAATAGTTTTTTTTGTATGAAATAGTAGTCTTTTGGCTCCTAATTTGTCAACCTTGAAAAACTAAAGCGTCCCAGTTTATTTGAAGTAATGTAATAGCATTTTTTGTCATTTTTTTTAATCAGCTTTAGTAGAAGTAATTAATTAATAGTAGTTTCTTATACACGTAAAGAAAAGTTCATTATCTTTCTGAAACGAGTGTATAATATTTTTTTTAATTTTGCATCTGAAAGAAAGCTTATTTCGATACCAAAACCGATGAGCCATTTCAACACCGATTCGGGTGCTGAAATAGACAAGTACAATTTATTTTCTAGAGGTTGGTAATGGTGATTTTCAGCGGCGTTTTGAGCGATTTCTCTTTTTTCAGGTGGTGTGCATGAAATATTTGCAGTATTCATGTTAATACTTATGACTTTTATTTATTACCAACCACAATTTTACTAGAGCAAAAGTTCCTAAATTTCGAAAAATTGACTTTTATGTTAAAAGACGCGTAAAATAGAAAAAATAGCATAAAAAACTTGTAGGTGGTACATTCATATATTTTTTTTAATAAAAAAATCGAAATGTTCAAATTTATTTGCTGATTTCTAAATTTATTTTTTTATGCCATTGTTTTTGACAATTTGCGTTTTCACCAATAAGATAAAAAATCACCAATTGATCATTATTATATCACTACTCGTATCTAAGAAATAAATAACAACATTATTAATACCTATAAGAGAAAAAAATTATACATCTATTTTCTGATCTTTCATTCAGAAATTCCGCTGGTGTTATTCATTGGCTTAAAATTAGAACTAATTTTTTTACATTTGAAACATATTGTTTGTAAAAAAGACAATGCATCTACAGCTATCTGTCACTAAATATTTATATTTGGTGAGTAATTTAACATCAACCTCGGTTTAAAATAAAATAATGTAAATGACGATAAAACGCTTTACAATTGTAAATTTTATGTTTTCGCACGTTACTTGTCCGAACTGATTTTCACCAGATTTCATTATTTTAACTAATAATAAACAATTTTGGAAAATTTCCATGGTATGGGTCACGTAGTTTCATTTTTTTTAACAATTTGTATTTTTAGAAATAGTCAAATCGCCATAAAACTCACCAGTAAATAAAAATTTTAATTGCAAATTTTATTGTGTTGCAGTAAATTTTGGTGGTCGTCACTAATTTTTTGTTTTTTAGTGTGGAAATTGTTGAACGACAATCCGAAAGGCCGGTTTCAAAATCACCCACGTCAAACGAACAGGTAATGTACTGTTTTTTTTGTTTTTTTTTTCCTTCAAATTGATTATAATTATTAATGGTATACAGGGTGTCCCAGAGCTCCATATTTCTTCGATTACTCTGACAGTAAAGAAGATAACGAAATGCGGTTTCTTTTGGACGATCGACATTTATTTTTTCTATGGTCCAAAAATATTTTCGTCATTATAGGTAATTTCTATACAGGGTGGCGCAACAAAGTTATATTTTTTCTTATGGAACACCCGGTATATTATGCGCTTATTTGAAAGAGTTTTTGACTCTAAGAATATCCATATAAGGTTTTATGGGTCTATCATGGACCGTTTATTATTTATGGGCAATTTTACGAAAAAAAAGTCCCATTTTTGAAAAATCACAACGGCATTATTTACTGATCGCTTTATTAATATGGTGTTAAAAATTATTGAGTCTGTGGTCATTTCTAATTCCTCTCCAGTGTTTATTTGGGCGACACGTGCTCCACAATGAATGTTTGAATTGAGTTATTTTGAAGCAACACTACGTTCATTCAAATTTGATTCAGTCGCTTGAAGCGCAAACGTCGTTACGGTTTTAACTGATAGTTATGTCTTTATGGATAACTTTTGTTCGGGCTGAATACAACAGTCAACCAAAAAAGAAAAGAAATAAGAGACCAACGCCACTAAAATGTGTAAGTTTTATTGTAATTTAAAAATAGATGAGTAACAAATAATATTTGGTGTTTGAGCGGTGGTAATGCAAAAGTGTTTCGGGGAAAACGTCGAAAACAACTATTAATGGGTTCTTGCTTACGTAAATCCAAAACAAGTCCGAAAATTTGATACTTGTCACGTTACAGAAATTTAATTGAGGGCACATTAAATTACAATGTTTGATAATTTTTCAATTAAGTTTAAGATTAAGTTATATTTTTTCTCCCCACATGCATTTACATAAAAACATTATCTCTATTAATTATTATTAACCACAGTAAGGATTATATTTGAAATTTAGGAAGTCTGTGAAAAACGGAATGAAAACATATGAGGAAATGTATTTTTAGTAAGCTTTTCATTCTTTGCCATAAATCTCTCAAAACGCTCAAAACAAATTCGGAAGGATCATTATTTGTTAGTGTTTTCTATGTGGAAATGTCTGTGAAAGTCGTTTTCTCACCTAATTTCACTAAAAACTCCTGTCTTGAATTATTTTTTTAGTTGCAAACACATAACTTTTAATTAAGTTTTCTTCATTAGATAACTCTGAAAGTTCGAGACATAGATATTCAGCTCAAGGCCAGAAAAAAAATATCATTGATTTTGCACCAAAATTTGAAAAGAATAACATTTTTTGCTTAACCTGAAACAAATCAACAAATCTGTGATTATCATTCTGATTCGTGATTTCTGTTTCTTTTTCTCTTATTTTTAAGTCCCATCACATTGGCGGTTTTATTTTTTCGACAACGATGTCACTTTGACAATTAGTTAATTAATTAAATTATTACAAGTTCAAAAATTTGTGATTTGCTCGTTTCAAGTCAAGCAAAAAATGTTTTTCCTTTGCCGTTTTGGCTTAAAATCACAGATAATGTTTTTTTACTCTTGTAAACTCAATAATTCGGAGACATATTGTATACCTAAATAGGTGAAAATACAAAAACTAAAGAAATATAAGAACTAAATTTCAATTTTTTTTTCTATGAACTATACAGAGTGCACCAGAATTTGCGTCCCACAGAAAAATGGAAAAACAATTATTTTTTTTAATGTGTGCTAATTCATAAACTATAACAGTTGTGATTTTTGTTTTGTTTTTAGTAACAGGAAAAAAATGTAAAATAATTCTGTAATCAAATGGGTTTAAAATTTGCTCATTTACAGATTACAAAATTAAAATTTTTATCCCTTATTAGTCAAAACTACAAGAAAAATATAAATAACATCTCACGAAAATAAAAATTTTAAATTTTAAAATGGCAAAAATCAAGAGAAATTGGTACTTTTGAAGTTTTTCTTGCTGTAAAAATTATACAGGTGCGCCAAAACTCGCTGGAAAAAATATTTAAAAAATTCTAAAGATTTCGAAGTTATGCACTTTGAATCCATTTATTTCTGTTGAAAAATTCATTTTCCAGGTTTTTTTGGTACAGGCTATTAGAAAATGAAACAAGGAAGCTATATCCTAAATTGTAACTCTATTTAATGTTATTTGTGACTTTTTTTTGTTAAAATTTTTGTACCTTTACTAAATAATTATAAAAAAAAACATATACAAGATCATCAGTACCATTAAATAGACAAAAATATGTCAAATGTCAAAAAATAAATGTCAAATTTTTTTGACAGGTAGAATTTTTTAAACATTTTTTCCATGTTCCTGGTATCTTATCTTACTTAAAAATTTTCTCTGGGGCTCGAGTTCTGACACACTTCTATTAAATTGGAAAATTGAAATCTGAAACCTTAACACCTACATTTTTGATGTTTAAAATTTGGCGTATTAGATACATTTTTGTTGGTTTGACGTCAATTGTTGCCCCGTCGTGAGATATTTTTATTTCACCTCATTTTTTCAGAAATTTCCCTTCATTAAACACGTTTTAGTAGATAATGAAACACATTTTTTGCCTTGAACCTCATCAAATTACTCTTTTTATCTCGCACATTATCATTATCACTGTTGTATTTTTCCGTAACATTAATTAATTTAACATTAATAATTTTTTTTTATATAATTTCAGATACGATCCGGCTCAAGCGAGGCGGATTCGCCCCGTCCCATGTCTGAAATCAGCGAAATAAGCACCGATTTCGGGGAAATCTCGACTAAGAAAAGGACAAAACCCCATGGTGACAAACAAAGACCCTTAACCCGATATTTGCCCATCAAAGGTTCAGACCTCGACCTACGACAACATATAGAATCAGCAGGGCATCAAGTGGTGCTGTGCCCCCACGTTATCATCAACTCGAGCAGTTGTAGAGGCTTTCTGCACAAAAAAGGCTCCAAACTAAACGGTTGGTCGAAAAGGTGGTTCGTTTTCGACCGAAATAAGCACACATTAACTTATTACAACGACAAGAGTGAGAAGAAAGCGCGTGGTGGGGCGTATTTTCAAGTAAGTGTAGCATTTATATTCTTGCTCATTCGTGCAAGTGCTAAGTTTACGCAATATAACAGTTTTTTTAATTTTATTTTTTTTAACAGGCGATCGAAGAAGTTTATTTGGACCACCTGAATAGTGTCAAATCGCCAAACCCACAATTAACCTTCATTGTGAAAACCCACGAAAAGTCCTACTATTTACTAGCACCCTCACCTGAAGCTATGAGGATTTGGGTTGATGTTATTTTTACGGGGGCTGAGGGGTACCAAGAGTTTGAACATGGTACTTGAAATTTTTTAAATAATGTCAAATGTATTGTTAAGTTTGTAAATTTCTCTACTTAGTGGTGTATTTTACAGAATTGAATAATATTTTACCATTTTTACGAATAGAGTATTTTTCTATGTTAATCTTTACGCCGTCGAATATACCTAATTTATTAACGATTAGTGCCTTTTGAAGAGACTGTTTTATACGTTTATAAAATTGCACAAATCTGTAGCGCTAGGTATTAGGAAAATTGTGATGTCCATATGTATTACCAACTAAAAATAAAACGTGTAGCAAACTTGTTTTTATATTACTAAACCTTCAATTCAAGGAAATAGAAAAAAATTGTTATGTCCATTTCATTGAAATTTGCATAAAAAGTGAGGTTAAGATAAAGTTTTTATTTTTAAAGAACAAGCGCAGGGCTACAAACTTAAATATGAAATACCACTATGCCAACTTCAATGAAATCTACTATAGCTTTTCAATTTTTTATTTAAACAAATATTTTTTAGCTTTCGTCAGTAACAAAATTAAACTTAAATGAATTGTCAGATGTCTTAAAATGAAATGCTTCTGATGATTTATTTTCGCTGTCTGTATTTAATTCAATCCTGTTTATATTTCCTGATAAATTATCCTCAACATTTTCCACGTCGAAGTTAAACTTAAAATTAGTGTCCGATGATGAAAATATGGATTTTTTAACAAATTTCGATTTTTTACTAGGCGAAGCCGGTGATATTTTTATATTAATTGCTAAAAAGAAATATTAAGTAATAAGCATATTTGTTAGTTGCACTTACCCTTTGACATTTTTTTATTTTCTTCCAACATTTTTGCCCTATAATCACCGAAAGTGACTCTCATAAGTTGGCGCTTTTTTATGAAAGGTGTGGTATTGTTCATTAACATGTTCAACACTTTCGTACTCTCTAACACTGAAACAAAATATTGAAAGTTGTCATGTAATTTGCCGCTTCGTTGTTCTTGTGACTCGTTCTTGTCAAATTAACACAAGAAATGCAAGAAAAACCCACAAAAAGTTTAAATCAAAAACACTGTCACCATAAAATAATGCAATAAATTTGTGGTAGAAAAATTAGAGAATAATTAAATGTCATTTGACAAATATGACAACATATATTTCAACGAGGCGGCACTTAACTTTTGAATTTCATGGCCAACTAGGTATAATTCCAAAATCAAACTGAGTAAAGGCAGGATTTTATCATGAAAATGGAAGGAAAAAAACGTTTTAACCGCATAAAACCCACCTTGTTTTTGGTTAAGTTTCCCGGAATTTATACTCCTTTGCAACTGCTGAATACACCAACAAAGTTCCGATTCAAATTGCTCTTGTAATTCTGGATTAGTGGCAATATTCGAAGATTCTGGTGGTGTTTCTGTGTTTGGACTTGGAGAAATTTTCAAGTCACTTTTGCCTTTATTTTTGTGGAGTTTTGGTTTTGGGGGCATTTTCACGATTTCATAAATTGAACCACTTAACACGATTTTAGGAATGTGTATCAAAAACACAAATATTTAGAAAAAGTAAGGTTATAATTTGACTTTAAGTAAACTGATCCACGCGCGAACTTTGAAAATGACATGTAGCGTCAAACTACTATTTTTACTATTTACTATTTATTTTCTTACGCAAAAAATCATTTCAAACAGTCATTGGTGAAAATTTTAGATGGCACATCCTGTATATTTAATGTACAGTTGCGGAATTGAAATTCCGGGCAGTATTTTTCTGACACTTTAAAAAGGTCACTGTAAAGTACCCTTTACTGTCATCATGATTGATATTTGACAACTAAACTTTTTTTGTTGTTAAAATTGTTAATTGCACAATTTGTTTGCCTTAGGAAATTTATTAATTGAACTAAATCAAATGACATAAATATGACAAGAGTAAAAAATGAGGTTATTAGACTTTACATTATGAAAATGACAATACTGGCCGAAATTTCAATTCCGCAACTGTACAAACTGATTTGTCTAAAATGACAATCGTTACAAATTACATTCTATAATTCTAAGACTATTTTGTGTTGCATTTTGTTTTTGTGAGGATCGGCATCTTACGTGAACCACCCTGTATTGCTTTAAAAATTTATATAAAACAGTTTGATTGTAATTGAGTAATAGTGAGTGGTTTAGTTCAATTTTGTTTTTAAATTTAAAATAGATTTACTTTGCGTCAAATATTTTTCTGATCGTGAATTTTGAGTTTGCTCATTAAATAATAGAGTCGTGCACGCAAGGTACAGCTTTGTACCGGCGACTAGGTTTCTAAAAAAATCCATAACTGAAAGCATTCGTTTCAAAACTGCATATTGCCTTGTTTTTAGTCTTGCCTTTTGTTTATAACTTTTTTTTAAACTTAAGCAGTTTAAATGTAATTGTTTTACATGGACTAAATAACTTAAAAAATTCTTCACCAACTAGATACATTTTGTTACAAAATATTATAAAAAAAAATAAAATTAACTAACAAAAATACCCCTAAATTAGATGTTTTTCTGATTTGTTGTAGGTAATTATTATTGTTATTTCTTACCAATAACTTGAAAAAATAATGCTTTTATTTGCTACTTTTCACATTATAATAATGACATTGCAACTAGATTCTTTTTTTTTATTTTTTTTTTTATTTTAATTTTTTTGTAAAAGTAAAACATATGGAACATGGATGTCTGTACCAGTGAAAAAAATTGAACTTAATTTAAAATAAGAAAGTTGAATGAAACATACTGTGACATTTAGAATAATTTTAAAATCGTCAACTTATACTAAATTAAAATCCATTTAATTTACTTTTTTAATCTTTGAAATCGGACTTTATATAAAAATTCTACAGCGCGTTCCATTTTTTTATAATCACCCTGTATTTGGATTATTACAACCGCATATTTTTTCATAACTTCTTAATTTCAAGATTTATGGGTTTAAATAGTTTCGAAGTGTTGTGTATTTCAAAATAACGACTATAATTATTAAAAACTTTTTCCATACAAGAAAAATAACAAACCACTTGAGAGAAAAACTTTGATATACTTAATATTTAAACATTTTTGATCTAATATGTGGAAAAAAAAATTATAAAAAACGACAAAAACTACATTTCCGGGTTCATTTCGAGTCCAACAAATTGAAAAAATGGCGTTGTTTCATTGAGATGTTTTTTCACTATTACATAAGAAAACACAAACTGATTTCTTTTTTTTTTGAAATCAATAAAATATGAAAATTTAACACATTTGCTAGAATTTATAAATCGCCTAAGATGTTGAGAGTGATTTTAATAGTTTGCAAAAATTTTAAGAGTAGTCCAAATAATTCAAGTTATTTGTCAAAAAATGCAATTTAAACGATTTTTGCACTTTTGTACTTTATCCCAAAGTTTGCACTGTTAATGGTCTTTGACATTTGATTCGACAAAAAAAATAATTGCAAAATTTTTTCCTCTTTTTTTTTAATACGAGAACAGCTGGCTGTTTTCGCTAATTTTAACAATTTTTTTTAAACAATGTAAAAGATTTTGAAGAAGTTAAGCGACTAAAACCTTCATATCTCAGAAACTATCAACATTTGGATAAGTTGTGTCCTTTTGTACATAAAAATAAGCTTGTCATTCAATTTTCCAAATCATGGAGTCTATAAATGCTAGATTTATGTAAAATGACAACCATTACTGCAACGGTTGCATGTCAGACTCTTTATTGTTGAAACCGTTGCCTCAGATATTTCGACTAAACAATAATTGATCGCAGAGGTTATAAAAGAGGCCAACACGGAAGAACTCACTTTAGATCTTCTCATGTCATACACAATGTATAACACTCCAACAAGTAAAAAACAAAAACCTACAACAAGTTACTTGGTTAGACCAAGATTAGGTGCCATCAGAGGTATTTATTCAAGTAAACCAATGTCGTCTTATTGTCAAGACAAAAAGAAAAAACTCAAGTAAGTGGAGTTGAATAATTTTTTGATTTTCATTGAAAATTAACATTTTTGTTATTCTTTGTCGGATTTCGACGAATTTTGCTTTGGCCCAAAGAAAAACCTTGTACATCATTGTAATTTAATTCAATAACATTTCTAGTTTTGTATCAGGAAAAGTAAAAATTAAATTATTTTCAAAAAGATATTGTAAAATAATTTGAGGTTCTTTTAAAGCTTTAATCTCGTTATATAAATTAAATCCGTCAATGTCCGCCTCATCTTTAAATTTAATGTGTAAGTCTTTGCAATTTTTTAATTATTGTCAAAAAATCCAAAAACAAACAAACGTCAAATAAAAATGT